TATATGCAGAGCTGTATTATGCATCGCAAAAGCTCTGGAGAAAATGATGGAAATTAACATAGTTAAGAACATTTGCCACCTGAGGTAGGCGAAAGGTGGAATATTGTTGCATGACTTTAGAGTTTGAAGGAAAAGTTGGTTGGATGGAATGTGTAAAGTAGTCGCCGGGAAAATCGAAAGAGGATTGCCTCAAAGGGAAGACTGCTGAATTGTACCAATAAGTCTTGTTCAGCGAACCCGATCAACCTGTGCTAATCCAAAGACTTCTTCGCATAATCCAACAGTCCTTACTCTGCGGCAATCCTCGTTCGGTTTCCGGTGATACCACTTCATGTATTTCTTCCAACCAACCTTTTCTTCGAAATGGAAATTCATGTCGCAATGTATCACCAAGGCATACTTTGAAACCCAGTTTTTGTTCACACCTTCAAAGGGTGGAATGTTTGTTGTGGTTGGGTCGTCTTGTCTCTTCCATTTAGGCGCGATCAGCTAAGTGGTGGCTGCAGTACGCTACGATTGAAGCCTTTCAAGCAATAGATCCTGTCGCCAAGGCATCCGGCAAATGATGATCGTCATGACAACCGATGACCTGGTAGTCGAATGGGCCAGAGGTGTCGTCTTCTTTGATACTTTACACTCTTCACCGACTCGCCTATACGCAGATTCCGACCACCCTCTTGGGCTAGTCAAATTCATGAAGAGTATCGGCATGCGTGTTGAATCAGTTACGCAAAGAATATCCAATTTTGATGGGATTTGTATGAGGACATGAACCGGCAACTTGCGTGTTGCAGTGGACCTGTGCTTCAAGCGGGTGTGATTGCAAAACAGTGAGTTTTTGGCCACAGTATGTATAATTAGCGAATGTATGTCTGTTGAAATGGGTACAGCACAGGGTGTTGTGGGGTTGAGAGCCGCACGAACCGGTTTGCTCACGGTGTGAGAAGACGAAGTGTAACGAAGTTGACCAGCCGTCCTACTTGGCTCAGTCTAGCCCAAATATGGTATGCCACATGCTCAGATCGGCTCGTCTCTGCCTTCTCCTCTTGACCCGCTGGCCTGAAAGGAAGACCTGGGCGACCCCACCCAATTGGCAATTCACATCTTCTTTCCACTCGGAGCCCACAGGTTAAACTTCCTTTCCCTCCTCAGAGTTAACTTTCCCTCCTCGGCATTCGACGCCCCCTTTCACCCCACCCACATCCCGCCCCACAGACATACAGACACACATTCACATGGCGGCAATCACCCAGTCCATTATAAGTGGAAAAGGGAAGATTAGAGTGGACACCATGTCGACCCGCAACAACTTGTCAGCTTTAGCCCTATTATCTCGTCTGATATTATTCGGCCAACACTTCCTCACGCACACACGCCCCTCCCACCCCCTCTCTATTCCAGGAGTTGTTGTCCTAGCCTCCTTGTTCACAGGGACGACACATGTGAAACCCAGCATAACTTTGCCTGTGCCGTTTGGATAAAGAAACCCACGAGAACCCAACTCCCCAACGGTACCGCCTGGTAGGGAAACCAGGCCTAGTGA